CTTTCCCAGCATTCAGCTGGTTGAATTATGCTTTTTGAGCAGGAGTTGTGTACTTGTTTGAGATCTAAACTTTCAGCTTTCCTTTTATCAAGGACTAGTGGCTGAAACACTAACTATAAAGGTACATGAAGTACTGAATATTGTATAAAAATGGGCTGTGAAAAGTTACCATCTTGGAGAAGGTAATGTTATTTTATTTTTTAAAAGCTTCAAAGGTTACAATAAAGCTTATTTTATATTTCACATCATAAAATTACATTGTACCTGTATGGGAATTTTATTTTTGTTTAGGTGTATAATAGGAAGGGAGGACATGCATAGCCTAAGTGTATTTAGACTACCTTTATTAGGTCATTTCATTGTAACACTTTAAAAAGGAGCAATAGCTCTCCTATTGCCTTAGGGATTACTATTTCATGCAGGAACAAATACCACAGATTCCATGTTTAGTCTTCCAACTTTATAGACATGTCAGTGTGTTAGTACCAAAAAAGGCAAACCAGCATCCTAAGCCAACATTGAATAATGATAATAATACAATAAGTTACAAGTCCAATAGCTGCAGAAAGGACTTGGGACAGAATTAATGTCATCCACCATTCTGTTTATGTAATGTGGATAAAATTATGCATGTTGGAAAATAAAATCTTGACATTTACATGCAGAATTAAAGGCATGATTGTCATCACACAGCAACTAAAGATCTTATAATTTGGAAATTACAGATCTGACTTTGGAAATCACAATTCAATAGCTAAATGGAGCACATTAAGAAAGGAACAAATAAAATGGAGGGTAGTATTTTGTCAATGTTCATTACCATGTTGTAAAGGTATTTTAAATACTCAATCAAGTTCTGGTTTCTCAATCTCAAAAAGAAAGTTAAGCCAAGGGAGACAGAATGAAGACAGAGATGACCAATACTGCAAAGAATCAGCTGTGACCCTGAATTTGGAGCTCCCAAGACAGCAATGCCAGTATGGGACTCCAACATACACACATGCTGGGCGCCTCTTCAGCACTGGGACAGAGGAAGACATCTTGCAGCTAAGAAGTTTAATCTGAGAATGCCTTCAGAGAGATTTGAGCTTTTACTTCAGGATAACCTATAAATTTCACAATTATTACCAGCTGTGGTCTTAGAACCAGAACATGAGCACAGACTGAATAACACAAGCTGCTATGGAGTTTGTCAAGTCTGAAGATTCTTGGAGTACCTTTCCAGAAGCAAATCAGTATTCATGCTTTCATATACCAAAAGGAAATTATACAGGATGATATTTTTATCAGTCTGAGTGACTAATCAAGTAGATATAAAGGGTGAAACTACTGCTACAGCAACTATGACAGAGTTGCACATACAGAACCTAGGAATCTCTTTTCTTGCTTGCTTCTTTCACAGAGAATAGAGACCAAAGCTTCAGACTCTCATTTTCAGTAGAAACGTAGAAAAAAAGAAATCTATTAATTTATTAGGTTGAAAGGCAGATGACTGCTATACTGCTCATACGCCAAAATTTAAAACATTCATTACAAGACATCAGAAACTGAAGGGTGATTAAGGCTATGCTGCCATATACTTATTATAGCAGCAAAGAAAGAGGAAGCAAGCATTACTAAACCAGATACTGCTCTCAAAAAACACCATTTCATATATATGGGACTCAAGAAATCCCATAGGATCAGAGAAAACCTTTTTAAAATAAACATTTGAAAACTGTGCTTATATCTGTTCTCAACACTGAAAAGGAAGCATTAGGAACAAAAAAAAAACCAAACACAAAACATCACCATTAAAATCTGCCTTGCCTTTAGTAGGAGGAAACTTAACGCTTTTGGGTTTATTTTTTTGGCTGAGGCCAGAATTTCTACAAATTTCCACACTCCCACAATTTTTCAAAGATGCTTCTTTGAAAGATGTGATAAAAACACAGTGAACTGGTTCATAAAATTAGACCGCTCTCCTATGAAAATGCCCCTTTAGGGTTTTTCTCTTAATATTATCATACAGTAAAACCAAGAATATGCCATTTACATACCTAGTTTATTTTATGAGAAGAGCTTAGAAGAGTCTCTTTTTACACACTGCAAACCCTAACTCCACAGGGATGCTTTCTAGATGTCATTACAGCACAATTATGGTGCAAATAAATCTTAAGATTACTCTTAAAAGGCCCAGATTGCTGAAATAAGATGCAGTAAAATCAAATATCTGAGGCTTCAGCCAAGCTACACATGAACAAGTATTAAGAGCAGGAAAAAGCAACAGGCCTGTGAAAGAACAAAGTAACTGTCCTGTTGGCCTTAATTAAACTTATGAATTATACCATAGTATTAAAAGGGAAAAAAAAAAAAAGAACACCTGAGAAGGATCTGCTTGAGCATAAATCCTTTACCCAAACAAATACCTTGTAGGAAAAACTTATATTGCTGTTATCTTTTAAGAGGCAGCATCCATTCTAGTTACAGCCATCCACCATTCAAGATAAGAAGCAAAGGAAGGACTATTTCAGATCGTACATTTCTGCCTTCTGTGTCAGCAGATCTAGCAGGCAGATCTGACATTCCCTTTGACTGCTCCCATAGATATAATGGCCAACCAGGGGCAACCCAAACCCAACCTTTCAGCAGTTAAATCCATTTGAACTGTTCACTAGGAAAGGACCAAACAGCTTCCAAGAACAGACATGCAGGGATTACTTTACACACAGCCAAGCCTATTGTTGTTTTGAAGATTATCACCTGGAAACAACAACTCCAGACATGCGGTAGAAAAACCCTGCCAACATTTCCTCAAACTCTCAACTCCAGCCTTTTGGCATGAAAGTCCCTTTCTCTCATCTACTTGTACCACATGCCTGGCACCAATAAGGAGAAACCCATTATCAACCTGCAACTCTAGGAACTGAAGTAAGGTTTCAGAAGACTTAGACTGGAAGGGCACATCACAGTGGAACCAGTCTTCCATTCCTCATTTCAGTACTTCATCTGCCTCCCAAATACAGGTACACTGCTGTTTAGAGATGCAGGCTGAGCACACATTCATATCTGAACCACGTGATAGGCCAATATGTAAGCAAACATCCAAATTTACAGACATGTATTAAACTAAGGATGCGCCTTTGTCACATTCAGATCAGCATAACTTCTGGCTGTCAAATGGTACAATAACACTGTCTTCCCCAAAATATAAGCTCCTGCTACTTTCTCTTGCTTCTTGATCTGCCCATCTTGCAGCCAGAAGTTGGATCAAATTCTCAACATTACAAGAGTCTTGATATATTTGTTTTCAGACCAGAGTTCATCTGACTCACCTTCCAACTGCAGGATCACTAGATCTGATCCAAAGCAAGAGTCATGAATATACAGACTGAAAAGGAAGAAAAGGCAGCTGGCAGGAGATAGCCCAGAGATAGTCAGGCTAGACAAAATATAATGTGAAATTGCACCTTAATTGAGAGACCACCGGCAGGAGAGTTAACAGGTAGTCTACCGTTTCAAAGAACATGAATCAATGAAGTGCTTGTTGCCAAACACCTAAGGTTACTTATGGTTTATCAAGAAACAGAATAAAACTACAAAAATGGTCACTAACTTGAAACTCTGTCCAAAGAGCACCAGCCAAGCTGGCGAAGACTCTAAAGAACAAGTCTTACTAAGAGCAGCTGAGGGAACTGGAGTTGTTTAGCCTGGAGAAAAGGAGGCTGAAGGGACACCTACAAATGAGACTCTGCAACTACCTGAAAGGAGCCTGTCACAGGGTGAGGGTCAGCCTTTTCTCTCAAATAACAAGTAATAGAACAACAAGAAATGGCCTCAGGTTATGCCAGGGAAGATTTAGAATGGATATTAAGAAAAATTTCTGTACTGAAGAGGTTGTTACACACTGAAACAGGCTGCCTAGGGAGGTGGGTGAGTCACTAACCCTGGAGGTATTTAATAGACACTTAGGTGTGGTACTTTGGGACACATTTTAGCGGTGGGCTTGGAAGTGTTAGGTTAACAGCAGGACTTCGTGATCTCAAAAGGCTTTTCCAACCAAAACAATTCTATGAAAACAGCAGTCCTTGCAGACTTTTTTTAGTTAGCTCACTTAAGACAACACACTCTTAAGACAGACTATGGCCAAAGATCATACTAAAGCTGTTCAAAGCACATACCAACACTGATCCTTAAACAGGAGATGTCGTGCCTGTAACCATATTTTACAACTAGACTCATGTCCCCATGGCCTCAGATATTAAGAAATCAATCAATTTTTTATCACCTTGCCTGAAGTCACAACACCAAATTTGACCTTGAGCACAAGCTATACAGATTCAAAAAGGATCATTCTCCTCATTTCCTGCCAGGAAAACCACTCCTTCCGAGATGATAGAAATCTGCTTGCTCTAACACAATCTACTGAACTATCAATCTCTCCTGGACCATTCCTGAAAGAGGATGGGTGAGACTGACTGAGAACAAAACAATGTTAAAGTAATTTCTGTAGCTGTAAGAATTACTTTCAGTACTGTTTCCACTCAGACAGAAGATAGCTTTCAACTCCCATAACACTCCAGATACTGTATTTGGAAGCTTTAATGGAGATGCTGGTAAGAATGGCTTGAATCTACCCATTATTACTCGAAGAGACTTGTTACTAGGGAACATGGGCAAAAAAAAAAAGGCCTATGCTGAAGGACCAAAATCTGACTTTTTTTTCCACACTGGGAATGTTAGAAGCAGCAGCTTACTAGAAAGCCTTCAATTAGCATAGGCTTGTGCTCCTTTAACTTGGAATTACTCTGAAAAAGAGAGGTAACAATGACCACCCAGAAAGATTTGAAATATACTGAGATTGTCATCTATAAAATAGTACTCTGTACACAGAAATCTTCCCTGGAAAGAGCTGATATGAATTCAAAGCCATGAACAAACCGTTCCACTTGGCGGACAACTAGCCCAAATTACAACAAAACTGAATAAACCCAAGTCAGCCTGGGGGGTTTCTACCCTTTCAAGTGCTTTCCATATAGTCTTTGTTGATCCTTCTAGTAGAATGTTAAAACAGCTAGCCACTACTGTTTAAGCAATCCCATTGTTTACAGTTTAACCTACCACTAACAAGCTTAGAAAAGCGAGAGGGGAAAAACTGCTCAGGACAAAGGGCTCCTGGTGGCTATGGCTTTAGGGCAAGCCCCCAAAAATGTCTATACAGAGCCTGGACCTCTCTGTCTAACAGATGGAAGAAGGATCTGAAATACACCAGGACTGCCCAAGCACATCAGTTTTAACTAAAACCTGAGACCGAACATCAACCGCTGCTGAGGTTCTGCAACAAACCTGCCACCATACACCTCACTGTCCACCTACAGGTCCTTTGGCATTGACAAGACTGGAGCTGGAGGAACTGTCTGCATACAGGACTTTGCTGAATGCTACTGCTGCTCCCACTACAGCACTCCACTTGACAGAATGGCAAGCTACTAGCATGACAGGTTCTGAGACTCAGACATCACTGGCACAGCCACAACCAGCAGAAAGAAAAGTCAGATATATGACACCTGAACACACCGCTGCTGCGACTTCTCCCCAGGTTGGAAGTTGTGACAAAATTCAAACATCTTCCTAAATTAATTAGTGTATATATGAACTTCACATATTAATGACATGAAGCTTCCACTAAATGCATTTAAAAAAATACTGTTTGATGTCTGTAATAAATACAGGTACCTCATAAGAGTATTACTACATTCCTTAGTGAACAGAGAAGTTAATGAAGGCCAGGACCTAAGACACAAGCAAAACTTCAGGAATCCTTAAGTTGCTCTATCTATACTTACAGAAGAATGAAGTTTCATTCGGCAACAGAATTGCCAACCAGCACACATTTAACAGATACATCTTTAAGCTATCTTAAAACAGCAGCCTCAGATGTCAGTGTGTTACACCTTATCACTCTTCCTGTATCTCCATCACAAGCATAAATATAATCTCAACCTTTGTGAATTTAATACCACAGAAAACATAAAATACTGTCAGTTTTAAATCCACAAGTGAAAGACTGCATCTGACTTGTGGTAAATTCACTATAGAACTATTTCACCTTCCAGTGACATTAATGCTAGAAATTAACAGCTTGGTTAGAGTTTGGAATTTTAGCTAGATGGCTTATGTCACTTCTTACAGCCATCCCTTCCTGCAATTAGCAGGGAAGCTCAAAGCCATTTGGATTCTAGGAAAGTTTCAGGAAAAAGATGTCCCCTGATCTAGCCCCACATTTATAATGAGGATTAGAATAACAGATGCTAGAATAGATACATGAATGAAAGTACAACATGACTGACATGCCTTCACTTTCTTTCTTTTCCCTCTTTCAAAAAACAGAAAACCTAAAAAGGTGAGTGGTAAGAAAGTATGAGCTGTACAGTGCTTCTGTGAAAGACAAAAAAATGCATTAAAAAATGGCATGTGTAGAAGAAGTATGCTACTTCTAATGGCAGTTCTGATACTATGGCCAAACGGAACTGATTCTTTTAACAGCTTAATTCCATATCAAGCCTTCTAAAACATCTTATGGGGGCAAGTGTGAACAAAAACAGGGAAATTTCTAGGCTTGTTATCTAATTTTGTCTAAACAAGCACTTTGATCACACACATTTATATCTGCCATAGTAGTGGCATACAGACATAAATCATAAAAAGCATTAAACCAGCAGAACTTCCTTTTAAATACTTTAAGTAGAACGTTGAGGAAAGACCAATTATCTTCTGGCTCCCTTCCACACTAAGAGAACCTCACATTGGACTCATCCTGGACCCATGCTGTCTTCATTTCAAGGCTGCACATTGAGGTATTACACTCATACCACTGGGCTGCCTAAATTTCTGGGCAAATTTCAATACAGCTGCAGTTAAACAATAAATAACAATATTCCTTTTATCGATTTAGAACCAAACATTCCTAATTGATTACACAGACAAATGGATATTCAAAAAGTGAACTAATTACCTCTCAGAATCTCTATTTGGATATGATCTTGCAAGTGGTGATACTGCATGGCTAAGAACAATGTAGGCATAATCAAAAACTTGTTTGACTTGCATGGCACCGTAAGAACTTCTGCCAACGTCGTTTCCTGAAATAATGTGACAGTCATCAGATCATCTTTTTTTAATATCAGTAACCAGAAAAATATTTATACTTAAAGCTCAGAAGCCTTAAAAACACAGCTTAACTCTGTTTAAGTTGGTTAGCCCATCCTACTCATACTGAGAACAACTAAGTGTGCCTATCTCAGTAGAAGCTAACCTCAGGATTGGCACTTAACATTATGCATTCAATTTACCACTTTTAAAATACCGATGTACCAGCACCTGAAACAAACAGAGAATACAGATCAGCTCAAAGGTCTTTGTAGCTATCTTTAAGAGGAACCTACCAAACTTAAAGCATCATATCTCACTTACCAGTAAAGCTTCTGCAGGCCAAACTCAGCTTAAAATTCCACTTGCGCAATGACATTATCTTCATAGGGCCAGGTATACTTATCTCAACCTCTACTCAACCTTATCAAAACTACAGATTAATAAACCAGTTCATACGTATTATTTATCTCCACAGGATAACCCAGTTTGTCAAAACCTGTCACACAGGATTCCAGAAGTTTGTACAGCATTGTCTTTTAAACAAGTTAAATCGCACTTCTTGACTGCCCCTCTTTGAGCATCACTAACATTTATAGCAAAACTCATTCCAAATCCAGTGCCATGTGGGAGGAACTGCAGAAGATAAGAACATGCTAGAGCTTTTGTATCAGTAACAGCATACAAGCATTGGTCTCCTATTTGACACCAAGAAAGATACTGTTACCACTACCAAGAAGAAAAACTTGGGGTTTTTTTGGTTTATATATTTGGCACCAGACACCAAAGGTTCATTGTCACCACTAAATTTAAGAAACACAAGGAAAACTTTCTTCAAACTGCATAGCTAAAAAAAAGACTAGATCTTGAATGGGTAGAAAAGTAAAAGTCTTTCTCCTTCAGAATGATGTTTGGAATGCTGTGAAAACAATGGAAAGGGATGAACCACTGAAAATGTGTATTTTAAGCTTGAAAATCAGATCAGGTTTTAAACACGAACAGGTTTTACTGAAAAATATGCTTTGAAAATTGATAGGTAACAGACCAATGAGGCCGAATTCTACTTTTGAGGAATCCTTCACTTGGCGCAGTATTTTGTCCAGCAAGCCATTATAGAAAAACATGCTGAGGTCTGCCATCCAGGGGAAAAAAAAAAAAAAAAAGAAAAAAACAACAAAAAAACCACCAACACACAACAGCCTTGGCTTTACTACTTGACAACAGAATTTAGTGTTTCAAGATTATCCAACCATAATGTGACTTGAACAGAAAAGCATAACCAATTGAAGCAGACTGGGAACACAGAATTTCTTCAATACTTTATATGGTCAAAATCTGATCAATAAATACTTCCTGTTTACTGAAGTAACTGAGTATCTTGTTAGAATAAAAGGTAATACACTGGAACAGGTTGCTCAGGGAACCTGCAGGAGGTAATATTTATAAACTTTAAAAGGGTAGGTTTAGATTAGATATTAGAAATACTTTAGTATGAAGGTGGTGAGACACTGGAACAGGTTGCTCAGGGAACCTGCAGATTTCCCCTCCCTGGAAGTGTTCAAGAGTAGGTTGAATGGGGTTTTAAGCAACCTGGTCTAGCAGAAGGTGTCCCCTCCCATGGTAGGGAGGTTGGAACTAGCTGATCTTTAAAGTCTCTTCCAACCCAAATCGTTTTATGATGCTTGATTCTGTGATTGTTCTGAATGCACCACTGCAGTATCCAGCAGGTACTAGGCTCAAAATCACAGAAGCCTCTTTCTAAATGACATATTTGCAATTGGACTCTAACCTGAAGTAGAAGCAGAGACCAATGCAGGCCTAGGACAGTGAATCTAGGAGGAAACACATTGTAGTTCAGAGATGTACTAAAAAGCAGCAAAAGACTTCCCAAAGGACCTAGCCCAAAGGCAGCTGAATAGGGACCAAGGTATTACAGGGATCAAGAAATCAGAACACAAAAATGTGAATTCTGCTGCAAAACCAATGATTAATTCAGGATAGATTTTCCAGAGGCAGGACACATGGTTGTGTCCTGCAACAATGCCACCTTTCACATAAAGACATACTAAACATCTATGTAGAAGAGAATTAAATTGAGAAGCAATATGAAAAAGGAATGTGGCTAAACACACAATTGCACCTACCACTAAATTTTAGCCCTGCCACTAAATTTTACCCCATTTACAGTTGGACTCAAGGGTCTTCTCCAACCTAAATCATTCTATAAATTCACATAACAGGAATTAAGAATACAGAGGCAAACAAATTGCTTTAGTTTAGTCTAACCTGGTCCTAAGACAGCCACATTTGATGTGCATTCTACATGAAGTTAGAGCAAAACAAAGACACTGCTGCTAAAAATTGTTGGTTACTCCTTTCAGTAGTTGTTGCCACCTCCACTGTTGTGCCAGCAAAAGATATCACTTCCCTAATCCACTTACAGCAAACTCAGGTAGTTTAGTTTAAATCATCAAGGAAGTTGTGTATGAGTCTTGATTGAAGCAGATTTGAGAACAGAGGTGGGATAGCTTATGCCATAGCATGCCTAGGTTCCTGGATTGCCTCATTCTGCACCTGTAATTAGTTTATAAAAACATCTGGATAAACACGTCTTTTTCAGTTATGCAGTCTGCAGAACTTGATTTGCACTGCAGCTGAAAAGCAGGTATGGATGCCAAAGCTACCATGTGAGCTACTGTGAACTGTATAGAGGTGGTCCTACCCACTCCAGAAAACATATTAAAAAAGCCAGAAGATCACATATTTGCATTTGCTGTCTTGAATAGATTGTCTTATGAGTGATCATTCTCATTAGCAGATCACATCTTGCATACCTAAGCATCCCTCTTTAGTCACAATCTGTAGAGTGATCAGTCAAATCACATAACCAAATGCTTTCACTCTCTAAAACAATCAGACATCAATCCTCAGAGATGTACACACAATGGTGTGTGATTTCATGTATAATTCAATCCTCATTCTTTCTTACAAAGCCTGTATCCCTAAAAGAGTATGCCTAAGATCTCCATCACTATCAGTATTGTCACTCCAACAAGCAGCCTTCCATTACCTGAAGCAGTTTTAAGAACACGGCCTGGATGGAAGCTGATCCATTTATGTTAAGCTATTACCTAGTAAGTAGATTTTTGCAACATTGAGCGTCACATGGGTTCTTTCATATGCTAATTTCACTGTATTTCTGTATTTTTATAAGTGCATATATTTCATATACACACATTTTAAGTTTCTGATGACAAACAGGAGATACTGAAAAGCTCTAATGTGGGCAGACACTAAGACTAGAACAGGTAATCCCAACAGCTGTTGCCAATCTCAAATCCAATCACTTCTTGTGTACCTGTCCTATCAGGATGCAGAAGCAACACAAGGCCTACCTAGTCCATCAAGCTAGTCTTTTTTCAAAGAAAACATATTAAATTTAAAGTTTAGAGCTTCTCAGTGTCCATATCAATTCAGAATAAAAAACAACCTCACTCATGAAGGGAGCAGCACAGGTAGAACTCCAAGTCTTAAACCGCAATTTAGCTACAATGCCACTGCCAGTCTGAATCAAGATCAAAATAATTCCTATTCTAAGCATGAGAAATGTCTGAAGGACCTCGATAATCACTTGGATTTACAAAGACATAAAATAATAAGCTTCTCCAGCAATCTGCTGAATAAATGCCAAATTTGTTTTACATCCACAGATTAAAGATTTGTTGCCTGCAACCAGTCACATTTTCCAAGATAGAATACTTCTAGACCAACTCCACACAAACCTCTTCTAGGATGATATCATCTACCTTTCTCCAACATGCTCCTCTGAACTGACTTCTGAGTGCCTGGCTTTGCAGTTCTCCTAAACTAACACTTGCACTTTTTTACACATGAAAGACTGGACAAGAGCTTTGAGAAGCTTAAATGGTGGCAGCTACAAGATGTTTGTAAAAACTCCCTTCTTTGGATGATGCAAAGGGGAAAATTTTAATCTCATTACCCTGTCTTAGGACACTCAATATTAAGAATCTTAGGCTATTTATATACACAAACTACCACTTCAAAAAATGCATCACCAGCTAGATCAGTCTTGACATCTCAAATCCAGATTACAATATACTTCCCAATTCAGGTGCAAACTCTTGGTATCTTTGCTGGAATCTTGTTTCTCAGATCACAGAAATTATAAACCTCTAGCATCCAAAAATCAGTCCTTGAGAATCTCAGAGGGAACCTTACAGCACCCAGGAGAATCTGAGCAAAACTCACTACAACCAAAAAAGCAACCCAACAGGTTGATGCATGTTCCTTCCAAATCTAGGAACTAATAGAAGGTACTAAGCAGGTAGAACTGAAGTATCATATCCTCCTGATGGCAGAATTTATCTGTTAGCCAGACTTGACCATTTCACACTGAAGAAAAAAAACAGTTCTCCCAATTTAAGAAGTAATCCCCCTCAATCCTGTCCCCTACAAGACTATTTAAAGCTGTACCTATGAGTTACACCTTTCAGCAATCTACTGCTGAACTAGAGCATACAATCACAGGGGAGACTTTTACACTACTTGGATAATCCTGAGAAACTGAAAGGCTTTTTTCATCCCTGCATTTTTTGTCTGATTTCTGGATTAGGAAGTCATCTTTTAATGTCTTCCTCCAAGGCTTAACCAGAACTTTGGAGAAAGCCATGATCAGGCTAAAAAATGTTCACAAAAAAAACTTGTGCATTCAGTGCAAAAACAGGTTTGAGGGAAAAACTCTACACCAGCTAATGCTAACTTAAGAAACATCTGTGTCCACTCTATCAAAAAACTTCTTCCCATCTCCTCTACACTACTGGAACTATTCCTTATGGAGTTAGACACTGAGTGGATCTGACAATAAACTCATTAGAGATGATGACTTGTCAACCAGGCAATGACCTGAAACCTTGGAAAAGTGTTTTGTACTGGGACATAAGCAGTAACAGAACTAATTAACAGAATTCTAAACATTATCTACATACACTTGACAGGTACTTTCAGATACTGTAAGAATATGTGATTAACCCTAGATCTAAGGAGGCTGGATTTGTGAAATCTGGTTCAAAGAGCCATCCTATATCTTCTATATAATTTCCCTCCTAGTTGCACCAGGCAAGTTTTGAAACTCTGTGGCAGATGCCAGAAAATACCCCTGTGGGAGACAGTGATCGGGTAACTTCAAGTTATCATTAGCTTTCACCTCCCCTGCCAAAACACTTCATGTCCTGTAGGAATCACCTTATCTCAGCCCATACAACTTAATCTAAAATTTAATTCCTGTCAAATCTTTGACAGTATATAACTAGGTATTTTTCTTCTAAACTGTAGTTATTTGCGTCTGCAAGATTTATGCTAGGATGAACAGATCAGAGACCCTACCAGACTTGCAATTTATTTATTTTTTCTTCTCTGAAGAGTCAAGAAGGAAAAATCCCAAAGCACTATAAGCAGTGATTAAAACATTGTGCAGTGCATGTAATTTTTTCTCTTTCAGTCCTCAGCTGATAGGAAGGAACAGAACTGAAGGACATCAAAGGTTAAAGAAATGTGACTCATGCTGCTACTCAAATGGGTCTTCAGGAAAGTACACAGCTACTGAAGGCAATCTCAATAACACAATGGAAGTTCTGCAAAATCACACTGATGTCTGGCCAAGTGCAAGAGTCATGATGGACACAAACTCTACAAACATATCAGATACGTGGTTAGACAAATGAGTATCTTAGCTTACAACCTGTTCTAAAGAATATTCAGTAAATTGAGTATTTAGAAAAGTGCCAGACTTCAGCTCCTGATCCATGGTATTTGCTTTAGAAGTGCTGTACATAAGGAGTCTACCCACAAGACATGACAGTATGGAGTTTGAGTGCAAATTACATTCTAGAAATATTAATGCTGAAGTCCAAATTAACTGAAAAGTGACTCTGAAGTAGCTGAAATTCCAAAACAGCTTTTTAACAGACAGTCTAAATAGAATCCAAACTGAGTACTATGAAGCTGGAACTTTTTTCAGGAGCTCAGCCAAAATTAATCTTGATTACTTTCAAAGTTACTGAATCAAAACCAAATCTTAAAGAAAAGTTTTAAGTTAGATACTTTTAAAAGTACATGCAACTTTAACTGACATCCTCTAAAGGCTCCTGTGCAGCACAGAAGCCAGTTAGGCAAACCACTCTTCACACAAACAAAATACAGCTGCTGCTCCCTTGCTACACATCCATGAATGTACACCCATGCTTCTGTGCAGCCTCTACTGCACTGCTCTGCAGGACAGGTATCTCATACCTGGGGTGTTTCTTTCCCATATGGTGCAATTTACCTGAAGTATGGCACCACAGACTGAGGTGGGAAAAGCTACATATACCTTCCATTCTCATTCTCTCATAATGAACAACAGAGAGCTGTCGCTACTAACAAACTCCCTTCCAGGACTTCCTGGACCTCTTTATTTCACTACGCCTTCAGCATTGTTAGATAATTTTCTTATACACTCAACACAGTCCTGAATCTCCAATGCATTATGTACTTGCACTGTTTGCAATCCAACCTACTCAGGCTATCAATCTTGGGAGACTTCATGTCCTTATCCCTTAGCCCATCGCCATAACTGTACCTCGACACCAGCAACAGTCTCTTCTCAGTGCAGCTTCTTAGCTCATTTGACAGACTTTAGGGACTCTAATGTAAGCTGTGAGAGCACAAGTGGAGCCAGAGCTCCAGAATACTGCAAGAAGTGTGCAATCTTACCAGGCAGGAGAGGATCTTCAATACATAGCATGGATGGTCTGTATCCATTAGTCATTACTTTCATAATTTCTTCTTTGGCAATATAGGCACCTCCATTTTTTATTCTAATACCAGTTTTCAAGTAGTTAAAATTCCTTCCATAAAGTTCAAAAAATTCTATCAGAAGCATTCCAAGGTTTTCATCAGCTCTTCTGGCATCAATTCTTGGATGCAGCTGTGACACAGAACAGTTGTAAATTATTAAAAATTATTGCTTTTCAGACCATAATACAGTGCAACAAAAAGATCTCATTTAATCAGCTGAGTATAATCGCTTTACACAAGCCTGAATTGAGTCATCAATTCTTCGATTACTTAAAATATTGCCACATAACCAAGAGGGGGCAGCACTTCAACGGTATCTGGAAGCAAAGGAATTCCTTCTCTTCCAGCTTTTTGACGATTTGTAAATTCTTTTCCCTAAGCCAAAAGCAAAAGTACTACGTATTACGTTACATCTTAGTAACAGAGTAATACTTGATTTTTCAAAGAAAATCCATTTGACTTAATGTTTTCAGAAGCAGGGGGAATCCGTTTACCCAAATGAAAATACATTCTTCTCTCAATACCCTCCTATTATACATGACATGTAAAGTCTGTACTATTACTGAAATCAGCAGCAGGATATGTGGATTTCCCCATTAGCACATCTGCTGAGACACACTGACATTGTACGTCATCATCCTCATACCAAAAAAAAATGTATTGAAGAAGTTATACCTCATTACCTACAGTATCTGCTAGTTTTACATATGTCAAAACCTAAACAACGTATAATTTTAAAAACTTGACTGTTTGACTTCTTAATTTTAACAAACACTGAAATCATCTACTCTGCACATTCAGCATCAGTAGCCTAGGAAGCAAAAGACTAAAATAGCATCCTGGAAAATTTACAGTAAGATGATTCAGGTACTGGAATAGGCTGCCCAGGAAGCCTGCCCACATCACAGGCGCTGGTACAAAAAGCAATGTACAGCTTCTATGCAGTTCACAACGCTCCTGCTGTTACTTCAGTTCAGACAGTGAGCAGTTCTTAGAGGTCTGAAAAGTAACCCACAGGAGCTGTCAACGATGAAACACCCAGAGCCGTAACAGTAAAGTTCTGCATTGATATGGGAGTCTAAAGAAACCGCACCTAACAGGGCATAAGTACAGAAACCGAAGTGTTTTAATGAACATTGAAACAAGTAAGAAGCAGACTTACCTGCAGGAAACTAATTGCCATTAAAATTAGGCTGTAAGAGCTAATTCCACCAGTAAAAACTTCATTCAAGTCCCTCTGGAGGAGGAACTGTTTTAGTACTAAAATCAAGTAAGGCAGCAAAGAATATTTCTGCAAAGCAAAGTAAGTCTTTTCAATGACAACATCGACATTCTAAAACAACATTTTAACACAAGAAGATTGATTTTCTAATAGAAAAATGTTATTTGGTAGTATACTACAGTGTTTCCACAGCAAAAATTGAACCATGCATTTTTTTTATTCTAGAAACAGACAAATAGAGTAACCCTCACTTAAATCAAACAGCTTACATATCAAATGTATTTCCCCTAAATAGCAAGATTTTTATATCCTTCTTTCAATCTAATTGTCACTGATTATAGTCAAAGCTTTACATTTAAATAGTAGTTTTACTACAGAGCGTAAAAGTAAGCTTGATTTTAAGTACGTAGCTACAGAATAACTGGTTTTAGATATTGTTTAGAAGGATAGTATTCACAATCAAGCATCACTTAAATTCCAGGTAAGCAAAACTTGAACACACTTGCTTTAGAAACAAAGTTCTGTAACTATCTGCAGATCTAGATATTATTGTATGAGTTCTTTCAGTGCACAGGTTTCTCCACAAACACCTAGGACTTGAAGGCAACACTGGATAAATACCAGTAGAAAATAAATTAAAATACCCATGGTTTATTACTATTAATGAAAACAGTCTTCAGCAATAAATTTTCAAAAGTCTTAAGCCATACTAAGAAAGGCTGGCTAAGCATCTAGCACATCCTGAGTAAGCAGTATAACATTCATTATATGGCCAATACCTTCATGTACTCCTTTATAAATCGAGCTGCCTTCACACCAGTTTCTACATTAAAACTGATGTCAACTTTAACTTCTGTCTCCTGGTCAGTAAGTTTTATTATTGGTACCTGAAAAGATTAAAACAAAGTTTTATGCAGCCCCAGAAATTCAACACCAGTGCTATTCTCCAGCCTACACACTTAACACACCTGGATACTATGAGTCCAAATGAATGCAACTATCAAGACAAGTGTGTTTTTGACATAAGATAGCAATCCTACCTTGACTGATAGGCAAACTTTCTTAGTGAGGGGATTAAAAATTTAGCCGTGTATAATCACATTAACTTATGATCACCCATGTACTCTCCCACAGCTATTAGATACCTGCCTTCATAGCTGCAATCTGTGTTTTGTAAGGCAACTAAACGTACTTAATGATTTACTGCTGTTCATAGGACACATTCTATTCTAATAACCTGAGGAAACTGCACTCATCTGACCCATCACTGAACCATTCACTCGCTAAATTGACAGCAGACTAGCCTAGCAGAAAAAATAAAGCACTGTTGGTTTAGCAAGCTGAACTGGTTCACTGTATAGTCAAATGAAAGCCAGAACGGATAAGAGCAAAGCAGGAGTAGTGATACTTCCTCTTCTGGCAGGAATAAATTATTACAGAACTACTGAATATGTAGCTCAGTCTCACACCACCGCCTTAAACTTCAGGTGATAGCATTTATTTTAAAATTAATTTATTTAATTTTTAATCTGAAATGGAAAACATTTTTACCAACAGCAGAAGGAATAAAGTAAGAAAGGCTAGTAAAATTGATAAGCCACTTTACATCACTAGCTTATCGCTGACTCTGAAAATCCCAGTCATTCTCAAGTAAACCAAAGATTACCACAGCTACCGTTACTCCAGCAGCAGCCATAGGAATCTCTGGACCTAACAGAGTAACTCTCTTTCAGAGATCAGAAAACATAACAGCTTGCTAACAGAAGTTTGGAATACTCTGCTTAGTCTCCCTGGAGTAAAAACCACTTGCTCAGTAACAAAATACCCAAAGTTTTTAGCATATTCAATGTGATCTGTTAGGCTTACAAGACAGATGCAAGAGATACTAGATATTACTTTCACAAAAGAAATAAAACTCTTATGTAGCATATTTTGGAAGGGAGAAACAAACATTAGGTTTAGAATACTTACCTATGCTATGAGAAACTTGACAACCTAGAAAATCAGGATTTCAAGCTAGACAGCTCTAGTTACTGAACCCTGGCTAAACAAAGTCTTCTAAACGGTCAGTGGAAAAACATTGTTCAAATAGTTACCTTATTTTAATAGATATATTGAAAATACTGACTTTCAGGTCTTTATGGACAGCATAAGCACAAAACATGGCCTTTCAGCAAATACAGTACACAGAATCACCATTGTCCATGTAAAAAAAAAAACTCTGTGCTCTTGCTAGGCACATGCAGATTCTAGTAAAATCTTGCACGTACAGAACAAAGCAGCACTTAAGACAGTATCATCTGCTTCCTGAATTAAGAACGCTATTTGTTATTAACATTTTAAGGGATTTGGAAGTTTTTAAGCTCAATATTCCAAAGACTAACTTACCGTAGCTTTATCAAGTACTTTAATGGAATACGGCTCAGCCACGTTGTGTTTTCTTAGTGCTTGCTCCAGCAGCTGTAAAGGGGGCCGCCAGATTCTAGTAAAATCTTGCACGTACAGAACAAAGCAGCACTTAAGACAGTATCATCTGCTTCCTGAATTAAGAACGCTATTTGTTATTAACATTTTAAGGGATTTGGAAGTTTTTAAGCTCAATATTCCAAAGACTAACTTACCGTAGCTTTATCAAGTACTTTAATGGAATACGGCTCAGCCACGTTGTGTTTTCTTAGTGCTTGCTCCAGCAGCTGTAAAGGGGGCCGCTCCCATTTCCCAAAAACAACTAGATCAATATCACTAGACAAAAAGAACACAGCATGAGACCCTTTTAAGCTTAAAGTGTAATACTGCACACCCTAAAAGAGGCAGAATTCACATTCTATGTAAGACAAGTCCTCCAGGGTGACCATTTTCCAATTTTTAATCTAGATTCCCAGTAAGCTTCATTTAACATTGTTAATTAATAGATGGCCAGTGTGCTTTAGGACCTAAAGTAGTATTCTAGTTTCTTGCTTCTGGTTCTCTGTTGAGTTCTTTGAGCTCCTCTCCCTTTTACCTTTCCTGCTCCCTTCCCTCTGACTTCCACAGCCCTAACCCATCCCTCATCTACCCATGTTGACAAGCATATTAATAGTCCAAACAGGTTTTATCAGCAGTTGTTATTCATATAAATTAAATTTCCAGTGCTTTCCTGCAGAAAATTGATGTAAAGACAACACAGTCTCTAAGGAACAGCTCATATATCAAACCATTAAGCAACATGAAACATTGAATTAAATAAGACATTTTGCTCTCCAAAACAGGGAGAACACAGTTGTGATAACTCCTCTGACTTTGCAAAGTAACTTTATGATAAGTGACAGGCTCAGTAATTCAACCTAACTAAATACAATCTTTATACAGGAAATACTAGACATTCCATTTTACTGTATCTTGAAAACAAAGAGCCAAGGACTAATCCCAGACACAAAGAAGAAAAGGTAATTCAGCAAAGAGTCAGCAAGTACCTCAAGCAGTACAATGATATATCAAATACAGATTAAAGTTCAGAAAATTCTTCCCTTTGTCACATGGGACATAGGGCAAAATGTCAGTTTGACAGCTTCACACTTTCCAGTCTAAACTCCCCTCTGGAATTTACCATTACTCTAAAAGATTACAAGCTTTTACATAGAAGTAGATTATTACTTACCTAGTTGGAAGATAAAGCCCTGTACTAAAGCTGCCAAATATCTGGACCTGAAAAAAACCCACACCAGTGAAATACCTTGTCATTATGAATGCTCACTTCATTTTACTTTCACAAGACTTAAGATTTTTCTGGACCTGTTAAGGATATAGCCCAGTTATCTAACTTACCTTACTACATACTTTGATAAGCTTGCGCAAATCTACTTTCTTTTATAGATGCAACTTTAGAGGAAACTTTTTTTTTAACAGGACAAGACTACCAATTTTGCTAGGAGGAGACCAGAAGCCTTTCAAATAAGTCCTTTTCCCTATTTCTTTCTAGTTTGATAGAAGTATATGCTGTTACAAATATCTCTTATTTCTGCTCCCTTCTTTCCTCATAGGACAGCTTTACTGAAATTGGAAGGGTTTAAGGTAAACGTTTTTCCGTATTTGTAGGTTTAAAAAACAGCAAGTGAGTCTAAACATATAAATTCAGATAAACATGAATACTTCAGATTTTGCTGTAAGGATAACTATGAAATTGTGGTAGTTGGTTGTGTGCGGATGCCATGGTTTAGGCCCAACACAGTGGAAAAGAAGGCATGCTGAAAGGACACTCACAGTCAACATTAAGTATTTTTATTATACTTCCAATCTAAAGAACTGGAATGTTCTTCTCCCTCTACTACAGCACAGGGCAATTTACAAGTTCACTAAATCTTACAGATACAGTGCAGAGGGACACGGTGTAACAGTGGGCTGATAAAGCTGGGTTAGTAGAGTTAGGTGAAAGGTTGGACTGAATGATCTTACAAATCTTTTCCAACCTGAACAATACTGTGATTCTTTGAAGGAGGAAGTAATGATCTGCTTCTGCATCTAGACACTCAAAAGTCTATGGGGCCTGATGGGATCCACCCTAGAGAGCTGAGGGAGCTGGTGGGGGAGCTCGCTAAGCCTCTCTCCATCATTTAGCAACAATCCTGGTCAACAGGAGAGGTTCCAGATGACTGGAGGCTGGCTAATGTGAAACCCCTCTACACGAAGGGCAGGATGGAGGCTCCAGGGAACTACAGGCCTGTCAGCCTGACCTCAGTATTGGGAAAGATCATGGAGGGGCTCATCTTGAGTGAGCTCACACAAGCAAGTGCAGGGCAGTTAGGGGATCAGGGCCACCAGCACAGGTTTATGGAAGGGAGGTCTTGCTTGACCAACCTGATCTCTGTGACCGTATGATGTGCCTTTTGGATGATAGGAAAGCTGTGGATGTTGTCTACTGTACAAGGCCTCTGATACTGTCTCCCACAGCATTCACCCTGGAGAAGCTGGCAAATCATGGCATAGAAAATGTACTCTTCACTGGATAAAAAACTGGTTGGATAGCTAGGTCCAGAGAGTTGTGCTGAATGGAATTAAATCCAGTTGGTGGCCAGTCACGAGTGGTGCTCCCCAGGGCTCAGTGCTGGGGCTGCTCCTGTTTAACATCTTTACTTATTATTTCGATGAGGGGATAGAGTGCACTCTCAGTAAGTTTGCAAAGGACACTAAGTTAGGTGGAGTGTCAGTCTGCTTGAGGGCCCCTAGGGAGGCTCTGCAGAGGGATCTGGACAGGCTTGATTGATGGGCAAAGGCCAATTGTATGAGGTTCAATAAGGCCAAGTGCCAGGTCCTGCATTTCAGTCACAACAACCCCCAGCAGCACTACAGGCTTGGGGAAGAGCAGCTGGAGAGCTGCCCAGCAGAAAAGGGCCTGGGGGTGCTGTTGGACAGACAGATGAACATGAGCCAGCAGTAAGCCCAAGAGGCCGAGAAGGCCAACAACATCCTGGCCTGCATCAGCAATAGTGTGGCCAGCAGGAGTAGGGAGGTGATTGTGCCCCTGTACTCGGCACTGGTGAGGCTGCACCTTGAGTACTGTGTGCAGTTCTGGGCCCCTCACTAGACGAAGGACATTGAGGTGCTGGAGGGTGTTCAGAGGAGACCCATCAAGCTGGTGAAGAGTCCAGAGAATAAGTGATATGAGGAGTGGCTGAGGGAACTGGAGATGTTTAGTTTGAAGAAGATGAGACTGAGGGGAGACCCCATTGCTCTCTACAACTACCTGAAAGAAGGTTGTAGGGAGGTGGGTGTTTGCCTCTTCTCCCAAGTAAGTAAAGACAGGACCAGAGGAAAAGGCCTGAACTTGCAGCAGGGAAGGTTCAGACTGGAACCTTCATTAGAAAGATCTTCTATACTGAAGGAGTGGTCAGGCACTGGAACAGGCTGCCCAGGGAGTTGGGGTAGTCACCATCCCTGGAGGTATTCAAGAAACATGTAGATATGGCACTTCACATCATGCTCTAGGGGCCAAAGTTGTAGGGTTGTGGGGATTTTTTCAGCTGGTGTTTTCTAGTGGTGTGTGGTTCGCTGAGTTTGTTTGGGTTTGGGTTTTTTTTGTGTTGATGGTTGGACTCTGATCTCAAGAGGTCCTTTTCTGCTATGACAATTCTGTGAAGTGACCTGTGAAAAGGCTGGCCAACACTGGGCCATTTCAGTGTTTATATCTGTTATCATATGGCAGAAAAACGCTATTAAGGAAAATTGCAAGTGAGGATGAAGTAGATGAACTTTAAAGTATCTTTAGCTCAGTACTATGGCCACAGCCCTCACTCTTTGTCATGGAAGGCTACAAAATCTCAGTGGTCTGAAATGTTTTCCTGCTTGTGAACGATAACACCACTACCTGGTAATCTGAAAGGTGATGCTGAGATACAGTTTACATTATTTTGGACGGTTTTTGTTCAGAGGAAACACTCTCTGAATAATAAAAGGCTTGTAAAAACAACTTGGGCTGCCAGGGTATCTCAGGATGTCAAGCTCAATTTTCCCACAAGAGCAGGGCTCAAGTAATTTCCTAAATGTCAAATTTGTGAAAAGCACAAAAAAACCCTAGAGTTTTTAACTGCTTTTTGTAAAATTCTGTATTTACAAATATCCACAGAGTCAGAACTGGATACATAGGTATATGACTCAGTCTCATTTAATATTCAAAATGAAGTTATGGAAAGGTAATAAATTAAATATTACTTAATTTAATTAATTTATTATTATATTAATTTACTTTAAGAAATGCACTTAAAGTGGATAGTTCTTCATATCCACAGTTATCAAAATGAAGGAAATATCAGTAGCCTTCATTGACCTGAAAACTTAAGTTTTTTAATTTCCTCCACTTCTTAAACTGTCAAGTACTGCAAGAGCTGGGACATTAAGTTGATTGCCTTAAGTTTGAAGTCTTATCTGTTCATTTCTAAAACACAGGAAGGTAACAGCAAGGCTAAGTGAACTGCAGTCTACAATTTACGAGAGAAGCAAATCTACACTTAAATTATACTCACATCAGCTGTAGGCCAAAGATCTTTGATGACTGTTTCTATCCTTTTGACCACTTCTGTTCTCATAGCTGCTTCTTCAGGACGAGGGGACATGAAGTCATAGAAGTCAATTATTTCTTCATGTAGCCTAAAGAAGAAAGAAGCATCAGTTACAATTACATTTTAACCATTACAAAAAATTTCAACAGAAACAGGCTATTTAATATCATAATTTAATTAAAACCAGTAGTACTTTAAAGAAAGATGAATGCTACAACAATTAGGCTTTCACATGGGAAAATGGAAGATTTGGTATCTGGGATTTGGGACAAATACATCCATCTATGCTTTTGTCATTCATGGCATTCTATGAGAATTTAAGTATGCATCAGAATAAAATGTTTTACTTTCAACTGCTGCCTGTTAGTGATTTTATCTGATACTCTTTTTATTTAAGGAAAAAAGTCACTCTGGCAGTTCATCTCCAAGCACTTCAAAGGCTCTCAATTAATATCCACTTGTCTCTATCCACCAGCTCTTCTTCAAGCTAGCAATCCTCATCTGTTTTGCTTTCCTCACACAGGAGCAAGTCCAAGGTTTGATCACTGCTAGCCTTCTTCATCTTGTCTGCAGTTAAACCAAGTCTTGGAAAAGGTGGTCAGAAATGCACACAGAGGCAATACATAATCACACCATTCAGTCCATGACACACCTGTTTTCATTTTATTGTCCATTTCTTTGCAAACATTGCTGCTAACTGCTATTTGAGGATATCTGAGTATACAGCTGCTCCTTAAAATAAACCATTACGAAGAAGCGTCAAGGTGTTTTCTGAACAATAACCACCAACATAAAGCCCACCCACTGGGTATATTCGGCTTGAATTATTTTTCTTCAGATTCATGATTCCGCATTTGCTAGAATTTTATCAACAATTTTATAACCTAATGAATTGAACACAATTTAGTGAAATACAGGAGAATATATATATGGTTAAAAGAAATAGTATATTCTGAGATACAGACTTTTCCCAATATTATCTAAGATTAAAACATTGGCAAAAGCAGCAAAAATAGAACTGCAACCAAGAAGAGGAACAGAACTTAAAATTCTTCTCTTCCCATCCCACTCACAACACCCATCAGGTGCCTTCACTTTTGTATACCAGTCCTCCTCCCTACCAGTAACACTTAGGTAATAGTACTCTATGCCTTATGCTATGTTCTAGGCTTACAAATGAAACTATGAAAACCCGGTGCTACATTCACAGACTGTACTGCCACACCAAATCAGTCTTATTACTACATAATTCAGACAGCAATTATCTTTGTCACTGTAATTGTACAGAAGGCAGTAAACTCAAAGACTGAGAGAATAAAAAACTTTCAACTATAGAGAACTTAAGAATCAGAGCTATGAAATGTTTTACAAGTAGATACCCTAAACACTATACTCAAAAATCAAGTTGGCTATTAAGGAAAGAATGGAAGAAAAAAGTACCTTTTTTTTCTCATATACAGAACAAAGCTGAGTTTATAAAATACATCGTACCTTTTCCACAAAAGAACATATTGTTCTTATTTCCTCTCTAAGCTTTCTTTTTGCCCCACACTCTTGCAAGTCAGAGCCAGTCCTAATTTTAGATTGAGTTTCTTGCCAAGTAGATTTTACCTCTTAGGAACACTTTGACATTTCATACACTAAAGAAACTAAGCTGGCTGGACTGATTCACTGTGCAAATTTCCAGACCTAAGTAACAAAACTTGTTTGCATTTTGGAAGATAAAAAGAATCAACGACTAATCTATTTTTGTAAAGTATGTCACTCCAACAGAACTTGACCAATTGCCTTATTATTGGCTGAACATACTTGGAAAAAGCTGCATTGAAGCTGATATATACCTCCAAGTTAATACACAGCAAAACAGCTTCTGAACATTACTTACTTGTGACTTAGGCTGCTGGACTTCAACACAGCACCAAGAAAACAATATAATTATTTTGTTGCATCAGTGAAGGAGCATACCATATGTTCAACCTTGGAACTGAATCAGAAAACTCACTATGCCAATAAATAGAACCGCTAAACACTGAAATTCCTGTCTTAATACTATTCTTTTCCAAACGCCCAAAGATAGCAAGCGATTTAACATCCCAGACAAGTCAGAAAGGTTGCAACAGCAGAAACAGATTAGTGATGAGAGACTAATTATGCCCATACATATTGGGTATGCATTACATCAAGTTAGCCACCAAAATGCTTAAGGGAAGAAGCAGCTCTTGACAATCTTGAGCAATAGTCTAAAATCAAAATGCATCCATCAAAGTATCACTGGCAGCAAAACCTGCAAATTCAAAGTCAGTACCTCTGCAAGGCAACAAAAACTAAAAAGGCCTTTTCTGGACTTAAGCACTCTTAGAGTTCATGATATAAAAGAGGAAGCTTCTTAATGCAAGATTTTTAACCAAAAGAATAATGTTTTTCAGAGCCTATTAAAGACACCACACTGGTTGTTTAGCAAATGCCTACACAAGTGACCAGGTTTTACAGAAGAAAAAAAAGGGCTACTACTACTTTTTCACAGGAAGATATCTTCAGAAACCTTGAAGCCAACTACAAAGCAGGAAAAGAGGATTGGAAGATTAAGTATATCAAAAAGGATTATGAGGAACAACTTAACAAGATGCAAACCTATGCTTGAGAAGAGGATAAACTATCTGAGGAACCCAAAAACCTGCTTCTGTTAAGTGAATTAAGTGATTACAGCAGAGAAAGTTAAGTGATCACAACACATGACAAGCAGAGAAGCTAATTTTTTATTTATATTTTTTTTTAACCACTCAGAGGTTTCCCTTGTCCTTACACAGAGAGAACTTGTCCCAAAATGACTTTTCAGTAGAAAATACCTCACAGCAAGTTTACTCCTGGTTTACTCCAAAAGCAGCACTGACATGATGCTGCATTTATAGCAGAAGAATATGAGGCAGCAATCTTTTTTAATTCAAAAACATTAGTTTTGACATTCATAATAGTCAAACTAGTCAAAAGCAGAATCAATGCAACACATAAATAGCTATGACTATATTAAGATGTTAACATAGCTTTAATAAATGGAAATAGTGTCTTAAAGAAAACCATTAGGTTTCTTAAAGAAAACCAAACTTGAAAGAATCAGTAACCACAAAGGAAATCTTTTTATCTACTTGGATTTCCAAACAGCATTTGACAATGGTCCCACATGTCCTTATGAAGACTTACAAAGAAACTAAGCTAACATAGGATGAGAAGGAAGATCTTTATGTAGATAAAGAACTTTTTTAAACAGCTGCTGAAACTCTTAGTGTCCATATGAAAGTAAAGTCACCAGTGAAGCCTCGAAGTGCCCTGTCCTAGTATGTGATCTGACAAGGGGACAAATTCTAAAGCAGAAAAGTCTGAGGCTGCAAGGTTATCTAGAATAAGCCAGATCAAGAACTGAAGATGGACATTAAAAAACAGACTGCACAGTGAAGCTGAGGCAGAATTTGAGATAGGATAAATATAAGCACGACAGAGGCACATGAGAAGATTCTATCTTTACAAAGATGCAATGAGGAGCTCTGCAGTGGCTCTGAGCACTGAGAATTAAGATATTGAAATCAGAATTTTGTTAAAAGGTCTACTCAGTAGGCAAACAGAACATTCAAGTTCCACGTTAGTGATCTGGAAATTAATTACGTACAAGATAGAACAAGGTAGCCTAAAATGTAGGAATATTGTGACACTATCACACACACATCTGATTTGCCCAAGTCCCAAAGACAGACCAGAACTGTAAAGCATACAGAGGTCATAAACACCTAGAGGCAGGAAATAGTTTAAATAGAAGGAATTATTAAACAAAATAGAAAACAGACAACTGTCAGGTGATTCAACTTCTCCCTTCCCTCTTTCATATCAGCTGCAAAGAGATTCATGGACTGCCTCATCTATGCATAAACATGTGCCTGGCAGCAAATACAACCCTACTGACAGCCTCACAACAGAAAAATAACCTTTATATAACACATGGCTTAACTGAGGAACAACCTGTCACAGGACGCTGCTGATCCCAGAAGCTCATACCAGCTCAACGTAAGACAAATTCACACATAAAATTTCACAATAGGCTTAACAATGCACACTGCCTATAGGCCAAGTAGTTCAAGAACCATGGATCACTGAAATCAGAGATTATTCCAGCAAATATTACCACAGGTTCATGTTGACATATTCCTCTCCCAACATCTGGCATTAGTCTCTAATGGTCCTACCCAGTACAGGTGTTTATATTCTTATCCACCAGTCTCCACTCACTGGGAGTCTCACCACTGGGTCCTACCCAGTACAGGTGTTTATATTCTTAGTGCCAATCATCTCTACTGCCAAAGCTTAACTGTGAAAAGCACTGTGAAGCTGATGCCAGGATTAAACTGCTTCAAACACATCCCATTCTCCTTTACACACAGACGTGCACACCTGTCATGCAAAGCCTTTTCACATTTTACTAGTGCAGCTCAGCCTGACTCTTAGGAATATTTTGGCAGAAGTAGTCTTAGCATAGTACTTTCTTTCCAGTATCAAAAGCATCAGTCCCTACCACTATGCCAGGCATCAACTTTACAAGGGAACTCTGAGCTATACCCACTCTAGTTAACTTAGTTGACTGCAAAAAAACTTTCTTTTGGCAATTCATCCAGCAGCTACCCTTGAAGTCTGCTGTGTACCAGCCTCTAGGCATGAAAACAATCCATTCAACCACAGCCTTATAATCTCCCAAGTCTCTCTTTGGATATTTACTAAGAGGTACCTACTCCTACCCTCCTCCTTGCATACTGCCTATTTCTGCCCTGATTCTAAAGCCAAATGAAACAAGAATTGAGTGTACCTTGCTAGCACTGCCTGCCTCTTACACTAAAATACCCACTACAGGTATCCACTTAACATTGCAGGTAAGTCTCTAATGTTTTAACAGGTAAAGCATAGCCTGTTCTGTTGTTGTTTTGTTGTGTTGTTTTTTTTTTTATTAGAAAGTACTAAAGCAAGACACCACAATACAGGGAGGAGATACCACCCTCAAGAATCCCTTAAACTCCCTACAAGTACTGGACATCTCAGTACCG